CTCTCCTGCCATTTTTCTTCCCATCCCTGCTGTCTCTCACACGGGGGCCACCATGCTGGACCACCGCCTTACCCTCCTGTATCCACATCCGTGGTGATGGAGGTGGCTTACAGTGAGTCTCCATCTCAGGGAGTTCAAGCTAGGCTGGAAGGGGGATGACTGAAGGTCCTTTGCAGCCTACCAAGAGGGCTCTGAGAAGTCAGGCCCCACCTTGGGCTCCCCATGGAGCTGCCCGCTCCCCTCGGGGCTACCCTCCTCCTCAGCGTGCCAGGGGCCCATCTGGACTCCACAGTGGGCATAATTATCACCTGAGCTGGAATCTTCTAGCCAGGATTCAGCCTTCCCCTTGCCCGTGCAGTTCACCAGCCCTGCCTTCAGCCCGTGCTGGGCCTGCATCACCCCCACCTCTGGGTCAGCCCAAGATGTTCCTGGCCCTCCTGATAAAATCTCCCTCCTCAGCCTGGCATGGCTCTTGTCTGCCTGGGTGTCCGTGACTTCCATTTGGGCTGCAGGCATCACACTACTTTCTCCACCTGTGGCACACCTGCCACCCGTGTCCACCCGGATCACACCTCCCACCTTTGTCCACCTGGGTCACCCCTCCCACCCATGACCACCCCAATCACACCTGCCCCCTGTGTCCATCTGGATCACACCTCCCACCTTCATCCACCCGGGTCACCTCTCCCACCAGCATCCACCCAGATTGCCCCTCCCGCCTAAGTCAACCAGGGTCACCTCTCCCACCCGTGTCCACCTGGCCAGCTTTCACAACTTTCTTTCAGCTTGGGAGCTGTCATATGTAAAATGCCTTCCTGTCTAAATGAGCCCTGTCTTCCCCTTAACACAGTGGCCTGCAGCTTGGGGAAACGACTCTAGGTGGCCACACTGGTGGGTATTGGGCATCAGAGTGGCACTGTCTGGTTGGGGATGAGGCAAGCATCAGGGCAGGATGGGCCTCAGGAGAGGGATTTGAAGGACAGGCAGGCTACCTCCTGTGGAGCATGATGCTTATTCTGTGTTGCCCGGATTGGATGCAGAGGACAGTGCCCTGGGTGGGAAACGTAGACCTGCCACCCAGCAGTCACAGCCATAGCCACAGCTCCAGCCACTACAGCCACAGCTCCAGCCATCACAGCCACGGCTCCAGCCACCACAGCCACGGCTCCAGCCACCACAGCCACGACTCCAGCCACCACAGCCACAGCTCCAGCCGTGTTCCCCCAGGGGAAGGGCAGGCGAAGTCGCTCCCTCCTTTCTCTTGTGGCAGATGGAGCCCTGTGCTCCTGCAGCCTCAGTGAGTACCTGCATAGGAAGCCTTGTGACGACCTCCCCGAGGCGGTGGGGGTGCTTCCAGAGCTGGCACAGGCTGCCCTGGAGGGAGAGGGGTGTCTTCAGCGCCTGGAGCCTGCCCTGGCGAGGGTGGCCTCTGGGCCATGGGCTGCAGGAGCTGAGAGCCATGATGGCCCTCTCCCCACGCCGGCACGGCCAGCACGGCCAGCACAGCACAACACTGCCCGGCAGCAGGGAGGCTGGAACCCCAAACGCTCGTCTCGGCTGCTCTGGGACCGTGGCTACCTGGGCCCGGGCAGGGAGGCGGGAGGCAGAGACGGAGTGCAGACCCCTCCACAGGGTGGGCCCGGCACTCAGCTGCGATCTCCTGGAGCTCAGGGAGGCCACATCAACCCTAGAACAGGGACCCCAGAAAATGAGAACCACCCGTACCCCACGCCTTGCAGAGTCCCGGCTGGGCCTCTTCCTGCTCCAGCTCGGGCTCCCGGAGACGGCCGCTGTAAACCCAGGCTGTTCCCATCGTACAAACAAGGAAACAAGCAGCACTCAGGTTTACTCCCATTTTGGAGAGCCGGAAACAGACCTAGAGAGGTGAGGGGCTTCGGACCAGGGCCCCCAGGGAGGGGTAAGGGGTGACTCAGGTCAGAAGTGGGGTCAGGAAGGTGGGGGGAGTGACCTGTGACCTTTGGGAACGTGTGTCACCTGCTTCCTGGGAGGCCAGCAGGGCTTACGCTCTTTTTGGTTTTCAGGAGAAGCCGTAAGGACCAGAGGGGTTGAACGGCTTGCCAGGGTCGCACATCAAGGAGGCGTGGGAGCGGGCAGCTCTCCTTGTTAAGGTTGCTCCCGGGCGCTCTGTCACACCCCTGTCACCCAGCCCAGAGCCGCGGATGCCCATAGCCTCGGCCTCCCGGGGGGCATCCCTGTGCAGTCAAAGTGCAGACTGCTCCCTGAGTGGCCTGCGGGACGGGTGTCAATGGGGGTGGGGGACGGGGCTGACCCTCTTGGGAGAGCAGAATCAGCTTCGTCCAATCCGGTGGATTGATCACAGAAATGAGGGTCAATTTCCAGCGTGCTCGGCCTCATTACTCATGTTGGAGCTTGCAGATGGGAGGCTTCTGGCTCCACATGGAGGTGGGACCCCAGGGCAGGAATGGTTCCTACTCTCTCCCATCTCAAGTGCAAAACCAGGAAGGCTGCAAGCCAGGCAGCGGGACCCCTGGGGACCTTGACACATGAGGACTCTGGGGTCCTGTGTCCCCTTCCTGCCCCACACAGAGGTGGCCTCTGCTTACTCACAGCTGCCTGCGCCCCTCCAATGTCATCCCCAAACCCTGCCCGCCGGGGCCTTGCTGCTCTGGTGTAACTCTAACAGTGCGAGCTTTCTGGGGGTTGTGGCAAGGCTGTGAGGTGTGGACGCCCTAGAGATAGTTGCATTTAAGAAAACTCAGCTGGTCACTTGTTAGGACAGCTACCATGAAAAAGACAGGAGATACGGGTGGTGGGGGTGTGCAAAAAAGGGGAGCCTTGGACACTGCGGCTGGGAATGTGGAATGCTGCAGCTGCTATGGCAAACAGAGCGGGGGTCCTAAAGAAATTAAAAAGATGACCACCCTGGAGCCCAGCAATCCATCTTCTGGGTGTATACCCCCCACATGAAATCGCCACCTCGTAAACATGTCTGCACTCCCAGGTTCACTCCAGCACTGTTCACAGTGGTAAGTGTCCATCGACGGACAGATGGTAAACTGGGGCGTATATTCACAATAGAGTGTGATTCAGCCTTAGAGAGGAGGAGACCCTCCCATTTGCCACCCTGTGGATGGACCTGCATGCCTACAGCTCTGCACCCTGCACCCCTGAAGCTCCTGCTCCAGCCTATTTTTATACTCACCCAGGAAGGCACCCCCACAGGCATGTAGCCGTCCAGTCTGCGAGGGGGGCTGGGAGCACCAGAGGAGTGGGCACTGCCCCTTCGTCTCTCCTCCACTTGAGAAAAACCTTGACCCAACTTGGCAGAATGACTTGGATAGACGTTACCCTCCGGTCATAGCGCTGCCCAGTGGCATCTCCTGCTCTCAGATGGGCCCTTCCTGAAGTCACTGGCAGGGGATGGAGGACACCCAACTAAATCTGGCCCTGCTTTAAGAAAGAGGGGTGGGGCCTGCTGGGACCTAGAAGCCCAGGGAGAGTGCTGGCTGTGCCTGTGGCTCTGGCATTGGTGGAGGAGAGGGGAGCAGAACCTGCCAGCCCTGCTGGGTCGGCCAAGGTGGGCCACAGTTCCCAGGCCACCCAAGTGGGGTGGGGTGTGGGGACAGGGGGAGACTGTGCCAGCTTCAACCCCCATTGCACCCTCCCCACCCCCACCTTTTGCAAACTCCCATGGTCTTGGGTTCCTCGGCCAGCCACAGTCTGGGCTCCAGACTCATTAAAGGAAGTGTTCTCATCCGCACTTTTCCAGCCCAGACGGTGGCAGCTTTAATATCCAGCAGCGCAGTCTGGGGGCGGTCCTGCTCCTGCGGCTGTGAAGGGCCTGAGTCCTACAATGGAGAGGAAATGAAACGCGAAGATGTTTCCCCCTCGGAACAATGGCCCAGCAAATCAACCATCAGCGGGGCAGAGGTGCACTGACCGAGGCAGGTGGGGCGGGTGGGCAGACCCAGGCAGGCAGCAGCTCAGCCCAACCCGCGTCCTCCTCTGGGAAATGGGAGCAACACTGGGGGAGGAGGCCGGCTGCACATCAGCTCCAAGTGCTCGAACACAGAACACATCCTCAGGGTGACTCCAGGCCCCAGGCCCAGGCCCAGGCTCTGCAAAGGGCAGGTGGGGTGGGGGCTTTTCCTGGAAATTGTCCTGGCTGCCCTCTTGTTGGTAGAGGAGGGTGCAGCTGGAGTGTGTCCCTGTCCTTCCCCGGAAGGACGTGATTTCAAAGCTTCCCCCAGCCTGGGAGTACTGAGTCCCGAAAGGCGCATGGTGTTGGTTCAGGCCAGCTGAAGTGGCTGGCACAGCAGGCCCAGCACCCCGTGGTTGTCTTCCTCGGGATCTAGACCAGAGGGACTGTTCTAAGCCACAGTCTTCAGTCAGCCTTGTCAGAAGCAGGGCTGCAGGTCCTGTGTCCGACTTCTCCATAGCTCCCTTCTCCCACGGATTTGTGTCAGCTCACTGTTCGGACACCCTGCTCAGGCCCCGGGCCACTCCTGGATCAGCCTATGGGACAGGACAGACAGGCCCGGCCCGCTTTTGGAGGATGTGGAGGACAGGAACTTGCCATGCGGTGGAGAGCGAGGTCAGCATAGCCACCCCATCCCACCTCTCCACACCCACCTCCAGCTTCCACGCAAGCCCCTGCAAGGTGGCGGGGACACAGGGAGGGGAGAACCTACTGTGCATCCATCCGGCCCAGCCCTGCACATGCAGGGGAGGCCACGCCGGGACCGTGCTGTGTTCTCAGTAGGCGGGGAGGAAGAGGAAAAGGGAGAACGGGGAGAAGGGAGGAGGATGCAGGGAGCAGGGAGGAGGGAACGGGGAGAAGGAGGCAGGAGGGAAGAGGAGGGAGGAGGAGGGAACAGAGGAGCAAGCAGGGAGGAGGGAGAGAGGAAGAAAGAGGAAAGAGGAGGGAGGGAGGAGGAAGGAGGACGAGGGAGGAGGGAGAAACGGTGGAGGGAGGAAGGGGGAGGAGAAGCAGGGAGGAGAGGGAGGGGGAGGAGGGAGAGGAGAGAAGCAGAACAGGGGAACATCCCCTTGTGGCTGGAATTGGATGCCTTCCTGCGGCACCCTCCCTTGTGCTGGCCAAAGCCCAGGTGGGCAGGTGCGTGGCTCATCGCTGATGGAGAAGGAAAGCATGAGTGAGTGATGATCACCAGGGCTGTCGGGGTCAGGAATGGCCAGGATTTTGGGAGCCAGCTCTGTGTCTGCTTCGACACTGAGGGGTGCACAGGCAGCAGTGGGGGCAGAAGGAGGAGGGACACTGGGTGGACATCTGTCCAGAGGAAACTCCATCCACCGTGGATCAGACAAGGGTCTCTGACCTGCAGGAGAATGTGTGGTGCAGTGGCAGGGGCCTGAGGTCGGAGCCCCAACTCAGCAGCCACTGGGGCCCTGGGAGCCTGCTGGTGCTCGGGCAACTGACCAGCGGTCTTTCTGCATTTAGTGACTGCATGCATGTGAGTGTTAAGAATGTGTGTGTAAGAGTGTGAGAGTGTGAGAGTGTAAGACCGTACGTGTGAAAGAGTGTGTATTTGTGAGTGTGTGACTGTGTGTGTGTAAGGATGTGTGTGTATGAGTGTGCATGAGTGTGCATGTGTGAATGTAAGTGTGTGTGATTGTAATAGTATGTGTGTAAGCATGTAAGTGTAAGCATGTAACAAACAGTGCGTGTAAGACTGTGAGCATGAGTAGAGTGTATGTGTGTGAATTTGTGTGTGAATGTAAGAATGTGTATATGTGTAAAAGTGTGTGTGTGTGTGTGTAACTGTAAGTGTAAGACTGTGAACGTGTAAGACTGTGTGTATATGTAAGTGTGTACAGACGTATATGTGTAAAAGTGTGTGTATGTGTAAGACTATGTGTGTGTAAAAATGCATGTGTGTGTAAAAGTGAGTACCTGTGTATGAATGTAAGTGTGGGTGTGAGTGTGTGTGTAAGACAGTGTGTGTGTAAGACAGTGTGCATGTGTGTGTGCGAGTGTGCACGCTCATACAAACTCCACCAACAAGGTCAGAGGGAAGCCCGCTCCTCCCACCATACAGCTGGCCCTGCCACCTGCCGCATCCACACGGAGCTCCCTGGACTCCTCTCCCTGGGGCCTTCATCGCTGTCGGAACCCACACTCAGCCCCTGCTCACCCCTTCTCTGGTCCCAGGGCTCTTTGGGTCCCCACCCGTCTCATCCCCAGCTCTCCAAACCCTCCTTGAGGCCTCTGGGGTCCGTCCTCCATCACTGGCTACGTCCCCAGGATCCTCCACCCCCTCACCTTCTTATGCCGAAAGAAACCTCCCTCAGTGATGCTATCCCCACAAGCGGCACTCAGCAAACGGGTCACCCCAACCCCAGGTCCCAAACCCAAGGCCCAGGCACCGTGCTGGGGCCTCCCTCCCTGTCGCCCACTTTTGGCCTCAAGATGCTGAGTCCTTTTGATTGGGCTCCCTGCTGAGCACAGCCCCCACCTCTCCCCTCCACCCCCACACAGCAGAGGGAGGGACCTGAGCCCTTCGGGGTGGGGGGGGCAGCCCCTGTTGACCCCAAGCTATAGTGGGGATTTCGGCTTTATTCTGCGTGAGACAGGTCCAGCGTTGGGTCTTCAACACAGGAGGTGTGATCCCACGGACATTGTACAGGATTCACAGGACCCCCAGGCTTCAGGGTTCAACAGCCTGCAGGGACTCCGGGGTGGACACAGGAAGGCTGGTCTGTTGAGACTCCTCAAAGCACAGTGGCCACCCCGCTGGCTTCAGGGTTACACAGTGGCTGCCCCCCTGGCTTCAGGGTTAAACACTGGCTGCCCCCTGGCTTCGGGGTTAAACAGCCGGCAGGGACTCTGGGGTGGACGCAGGGAGGCTGGTCTGCTGTGACTCCTCAAAGCACAGTGGCTGAGAATCACCCATCTGCTTTAGTGGGTGGCTATTTTGTGGGTCAGGAGTTCGGGAAAGGCTCTGGGAGCTGGTTCTTACTTGGGGTCCCTCCTGTGGTTCCAGTCAGGTGTCCAATGGGGTTGTGGTCATCTGAAGTCTCGCCAGGGCTGGACATCTGCAATGGCATAGTCACGTGGCTGGCAGTGCTCCTGCTCATCAGATGGGAATTTGGTGGGACCGAGAATGCGAGCACCCACTAGTGGCCTGTGCCTGGGGCTGGAGCTTCTCACAGCTCAGGGGCTGGGGCAACATCACAGGAAGGAGCCTGGGAGCTCCATGTTCCTGAAGACCAACACAGCAGCTGCCAGGTTTCTTCGGACCCAGCGCTGAACGTCACACAGCTGCTCTCCGGCTACACGCAACTGGTTCCAAGCCAGGCTTCAAGGCTGGCTGAAATTCAAGGGGAAGGGGATTAGACCACACCTGTCAAGGAGGAGCTGCAAGAAATTCACAGTCACCTTTTAAAACTGCCGCAGGAGACTGGCAGCATCCCAGAGTGAAGAGGACACAGGTGTGAGCCAGGGAGGCGGCAGTGCAGGGGACGGAACGGGTCAGCGTCTGGATTTATTTTGAAGACACAGCTTGACTGTGGCTGCTGATGGACCACAGTCCACAGTCACTGGTTCCAGGGACCTGTGGGTGTCCCGAGGCCAGCTGGCCCCATCTGTCTGTGTGGCCAGTGCACAGCCACGCCCTGTGCAGTGAATGAATGAGAAGGGCCTTCCCATCCCCAGGCAGGGCCCTGGAGCACAGTGCTGGGCACCCAGCAATGCCAGGGAGGAGTGTGCAACCCAGAGAGTTAGACAGGACCCAGCCTCCTTGCTCTGGGGGTGCGGGGAGCTATGGGGGGAAGGGGAGCTGACCTCATGCTTTTGCCAGGAGCTCTTTCTAGAAGCCAGGGCCAACTCCACCCCAAAGTGTTTGCGTGTGAAATTGGGGATGAGGAATATTGAATAATAGGACAAGAAAGAGCGTTACCAGCTTGCTCTTAGACCTTTAGCTGAACATGGGTGATCGTCTGGGAACCAGCCACGGCCGCACAGAGGCACCAGCTGCTTCACTTGCTCACCCCAGTGGGTAAACTTGGCAGCCCAGTGCCCAGCACATACCAGGTGCTCAGCCTTGTCAGCACAGAAGACTGAGGCCCAGTGCTTAGCGTATGCCTAGTATACAGCAGGTGCCAGGTGGATGCATCCCTCAACACTGAGCCCCAGTGTTTAGTGTGTGGCCAGTATACAGTTGGTGCCAGGTAAATGTATTCCTCAAGACTGAGCCCCAGTGCTTAGCCGGTGCCTACTCTACAGCAGGCGCCAGGTGGATGCATCTGTCAAGCCTGAGCCCCAGTAGTTAGACCGTGCCTAGTATACAGCAGGTGCCGGGTAAATGTATCCCTCAAAGCTGAGCCCCGGTGCTTAGCCCGTGACTAGTAGCCAGGTAAATGTATCACTTAAGCCTGAGCCACAGTGCTTAGACTGTACCTAGTATACAGCAGGTGCCAGGTAAATGTATCCAAGACTAAGTCCTAGTACTTAGCCCATCCCTGGTATACAGCAGGTGCCCAGGTGGATGTATCTCTCAACACTGAGCCCCAGTGCTTGGCCTGTGCCTAGTATACAGCAGGCACTGTCTAGATGTATCCCTAAAGACTGATCCCTAGTGCTTAGCTCAGGTCTAGTATACAGCAGGTGCCAGGTGGATGCATCCCTCAAGCCTGAGCCCTAGTGTACATGCCTAGGGCTCTAGTGTACATCCCTCAAGCCCATACCTAGTGTACAGCAGGGACCAGTTGGATGTATCTTTGAAGCCTGAGCTCCAGTGGCTAGCCCATGTCTAGTATACAGCAGGCGCTGGGTGGATGTATCCCTCAACAGTGCCCCCCAGTGCTTAGTCCGTGCATAGCATACAGCAGGCACCAGGTGGATGTATCCCTCAAGCCTGAGCCCTAGTGCTTCGCCTGTGCCTAGTATACAGCAAGTGCCAGGGGAATTATCCCTCAACAGTGCTGCCCAGTGCTTAGTCCATGTGTAGCATACAGCAGGCACCCAGGTGGATGTATTTCTCAAGACTGAGCCCCAGTGTTCAGCCTGTGCCTGGTATACAGCAGGCGCCAGGTGGATGTATCCCCTAAGCAGCCCCAGGAGTGCCTCGGGCCCAGACAGTGCTGGAGCACACACAGTGCAGGTGGCTGCAAATTGCTCCCTTCACTCTCCTGGTACTGGCTGTGTGTTAACTGCTGACCACCGGCCGCACAGCTGGGGCAGGCCAGACCTCCAGTCTAGCACCCCAGGGCCCTCTCTGGGCTCCCCTGAGCGTCTCTTGCTCTGAGCACTGGTCTCTGTTGAGGCAGGTGCAGATCTGAAGCTGTGGGGGATGGGAGCCTTCCTAGTCCTCAGTCTGCAATGGAGCCTTTCCTGGGTGAGCAGGTGGAGGGAGCCACACATGTAAATGAAAAGGCTGTAATGGAGGAAAACAGTGAAAGGAGGCTGCAACCAGGAGGGCTTCCTGGAGGTGGCACTGTTCAGGAAGGAGCTGTAGGACTGGAGCAGCAGACAGAACAGCATATGCGCAGGCATGGGAGGAGGAAACACTACTGGGTGGGAGTTGGGGAACCGGGGTGCTGAGGGAGTCAGGGAGATGGTGGTACAGACACACAGAGGGCTGGCCTGTCACACAGAGCACAGCACTGATGCAGAGGCGTGGGAATTGTGCAGCGCCTGAGGCTGGGGGCTTTCTGCCACCCCGAGCTGCCCCATGAAAAGCAGACAGCTGTCGAGTCTCTTTCCACCCTCCATCCTCTTATTTTTGCTACACTGAGGTCAAGCCGATTTACTGAATTAATTCCCCAAATTACTGATCAATACCTAATTACAACCAGACACAATGCTGACAGCCCCGGAGCCACACTCTGTAATCACCACTTTTACAGCAAGGAGCTGAGGCTCTGGGAAGTGACATCACTAGCCCAAGCGGACGGCACCAAGATCTGTTTCCCAAGATGCTCAGCGAACCAAGAGGACAGAGGTGAAGGGTAGGAAGGACATGGGGCTGTCAGTTCACAGTCCCTGCACCCCTGCTTCCCTGTACCCCTGCAACTCTGCATTCTGCACCCCTGCGTCTTGGCACCCTTGCACCCAGCACCACTTCACCTCTGCACCCTGCACCCTGCATCCTGCATCCCTGCATCCCTGCACCATAGCCCTGCACTCTGCACCCTG